AATGAAACCAAAAGAATAGTAGAACAGGTCAATGAAACTAGGAGCTGGTTCTTTGAAAGAATTAAGAAGATTGATAAACCCCTGGCCAGACTTATTAAAAAGAAAAGAGAAAGGACCCAAATAAATAAAATCATGAGTGAAAGAGGAGAGATCACAGCTAACACCAAAGAAATACAAACAATTATAAGAACGTATTATGAGCAACTATATGCCAACAAAGTAGGCAATCTGGAAGAAATGGATGCATTCCTAGAGACACATAAACTACCAAAACTGAAACCAGAAAGAGAAAACCTGAACAGACCCATAACCAACAAGGATATTAAAGCAGTAATCAAAAATCTCCCAACAAACAATAGTCCAGGGCCAATGGCTTCCCAGGGGATTTCTACCAAACATTTAAAGAAGAACTAATGCCTATTCTTATGAAGCTGTTTCAAAAAATAGAAATGGAAGGAAAACTTCCAAACTCATTTTATGAGGCCAGCATTACCTTGATCCCAAAACCAGACAGAGACCCCATCAAAAAGGAGAATTACAGACCAATATCCCTGATGAACATGGATGCGAAAATTGTCACCAAGATACTAGCCAATAGGATCCAACAGTACATTAAAAGGACTGTTCACCACGACCAAGTGAGATTTATTCCTGGGCTGCAAGAGTGGTTCAATATCTGCAAATCAAATAAAGGACAAGAACCATATAGTCCTCTCAGTAGAAGGAGAAAAAGCATTTGACAGTACAATTTCGTGATTAAAACTCTTCACAGTGTAGGGATAGAGGGAACATACTTCAATATCATAAAAGCCATCTATGAAAAGCCCACAGTGAATATCATTCTCAATAGGGAAAAACAGAGCTTTTTCCCTAACGTCAGGAAAAATGGCAGGGATGTCCATTCTCACCACTGTTGTTCAATATAGTACTAGAAGTCCTAGCCTCAGCAGTCAGACAACAAAAATAAAAAGCATCCAAATTGGCGAAGAAGTCAAACTTTGACTCTTCGCAGAGGACATGATACTCTATGTGGAAAACCCAAATGACTCCACCCCAGAATTGCTAGAACTAAAGCAGGAATTTAGCAGTGTGGCAGGATATAAAATCAACACACAGAAATCAGTTGCATTTCTATGCACTAACAGTGAGACAGAAGAAATAGTAAGGAGTCAATCCCATTTACAATTGCACCAAAAACCATAAGATACCTAGGAATAAACCTAACCAAAGAGGCAAAGGATCTGTACTCAGAAAACTACAGAACAGTCATGAAAGAAATTGAGGAAGACACAGAGAAATGGAAAAACATTCCGTGCTCACGGATTTGAAGAACAAATATTGTTAAAATGTCTGTGGTACCTAGAGCAATCTTATACGATTCAGTGCAATCCCTATTTCCTTGTTTTAATTTGCATTTCCCTAATGACAAATGATGAGCTTTTACCTTTTTTTTTTTTTTGCCATTTATTTCTCTCTCAAGTGACTGTTAAGATCTTTATTCATATTTTAATTGGGTTCTTTTTTTTACTGTTGAGTTTTAAAAGTTTTTTTTTTCCCCATATTTTAGATACAAGTACTTCAGCCAGTAGTGATTTGCAAATACAGGTATACCTCAGAGATACTGCACATTTGGTTCTAGACTACTGCAATAAAGCACATCAAATCAGTTTTCTGGTTTCCTAGTGCATATGAAAATTATATTTATAGTGTACTATAGTCTGTTGTGTGTGAAAAATAGCATTATGTCTAAAAGGATGTACCTATATTAACTTAAACATACTTTATTACTAGAAAATGCTAACCATCATCTGAACTTTCAGTAATTCATAATTGTTTTATTGGAGTAGAGTCTTGCCTTGATGTTAATGACTGCTGACTGATCACATTGGTTGGTAGTTTCTGAAGTTTGGGGTGGCTGTGGCAGTTTCTTAGAAGACAGCAATAAATTTTGTCGACTGACTCTTTCATAAATGAGTTTACTGCGGCATGTGATGCTGTTTGATAGCATATTTTTACTCACAGTAGAACTTCTTTCAAAATTGCAACAAACCCTGTTGCTGCTTTATCAATTAAGTTTATGTAATACTCTGAATTCTTCTTTGTCATTTCAGCAGTCTTCACAGCATCTTCACCAGGAGTAAACTCCATCTCAAGAAATCATTTCTCTGCCCATCTGTAAGAAACAACTTCATCTGTTAAAGGTTTTATCATCAGATTGCAGCATTTCAGTTTTATCTTCAGGTTCCACTTCTAATTCTAGTCCTCTTTCCTACCACACCTGCGTTTACTTCCTCTACTGAGGTCTTGAACCCCTCAGAGTAATCCATGAGGGTAGGAATTAGCTTCTTCCAAATTCCTATTAATACTGATCCCTCCACATGAATGATAAATGTTGTCACCTAGAATGGTGAATCCTTTCCAGAAGGTTTTCAGTTTCTTCGCTTAGATCCATCAGAGGAATCACTATCTCTAGCAGCTATAGCCTAACAAAATGTATTTCTTATATAATGAGACTTGGTAAGCCAAAATTACTCTGATCCATGAGCTGCTATGAAATTTGTATATGACATCTTCCGTTGTAAGGCTGTTTTGTCTACACTGAAAACCTGTTATTTATTGTAGCCATCTGCAGTAATAATCTGAGCTAGATTTTCTGGATGACTTGCCACAGTTTCTACATCAGCACTTGCTGCTTCACCCTGCACTTTGATGTTATGGAGATGGCTTATTTCCTTAAACCTCATGAACCAGCCTCTGCTAGCTTCATACTTTTCTTCTGTAGTTTCCTCACCTCTCTCAGCCTTTATAGTATGGAAGAGAGTTAGGGCCTTCTTGATTAGTCTTTGGCTTAAGGGAATGTTGTGGCTGGCTTGATCTTCTATCCAGGCTACTAAAACTTTTATCAGTGATATGGTGGGTTCACTTTTTTTTTTTTTTTAAATCATTTGTGTGTTCATTGGAGAAGCACTTTTGTTTAAGAACTTACCCTTTGCATTCAAAACTTGGCTTACTGTTTGGTTCAAGGGGCCTAATTTTCAGCCTGTCTCAGCTTTCAACATACCTTTTTCACTGAACTTAATCATTTCTAGCTTTTGATTTAAAGTGAGAGATGTATAACTCTTCCTTGAACACTTGAGAGGCTAATGTAGAGTTATTAATTGGCTTAATTTCAATATTGGTGTGTCTCAGAATAGGGAGTCCCAAGGAGAGTGAGATAAATATATGGTGGAAATGGCTGGTTGGTGGAACAGTCTGAACACATACAATGTTTATTTATTTATTTATTTTTAAAGATTTTTTATTTTATTTATTTGACAGAGAGAGACACAGCGAGAGAGGGAACACAAGCAGGG